TCATCTGAAACCTGTCCACAATGGGTGACCATGCTGGTATTTACAACACCCGTGATATAGCTTCCAGAATCACAACAACTCACAAGCCACCACTTTACGAAAAACTGACAGACAAGTGGTAAAAACCTAAATTGTAACTTACTTTTATTACTTCAGCTTTTGTAACCAATGATCAGTACTTACTAATCTGATCCCCGACTCATCTGTCAGTTTGCCATCCTATGGTGGCATGTGTGTTGTTATGATGCTGAAAGCTATGCCACCAGTGTTTAAAAACCAGCAGGGCCACCCATGGTGGACAGGTTTTAGCGAAGCTTCTAATATAAGACAGACAAAGAAAAAGAAGAGGCAGACCACTTTTGAATGGTAAACCACTGGAAACCTTTTGAACACTATCAAATATAGTGCCAGGATATAAGCCCCTCCAAGTTGGAATGAATTCAAAATATGATAGGGTTAGAGTTAACTCCTAAAAGTAAATTAACCATAATTGATGTGAATGGAAGCTTTCAAGGACCTTCATTTGCAGATGGAGCACAACTCAAAATGAGAGGAAACAGCTGTATACATCCATTAATAAATGGAATGTAGAAAATTTGAAGTCCTCAAAATTGAAATGGAACACATAAAGATCGATATCCTAGGCATTAGTGAGTTGAAATGGACTGTATTAGCCATTTTGAATCAGAAATCAGATGAGTACTATACCAGGAAAGACAAATTCAAGAGGAACGGTATTGCATTCTTCATCAAAAAGGCAATATCAAGATCTATCTTGAAGTACAATACTGTCTATGATAAGCTAATATCCATATGCCTACAAGGAGCTTTGGTAGCGTAGTGGTTACGAATCGGGCTGCAAACCGCAAGGTCAGCAGTTCGAAACTACCAGCTGTTCCGTGGAAGACAGATGAGGCTTTCTGCTTCCATAAAGAGTCACTGTGAGTCGGAACCGACTCCACAGAACAGAACCACCACCACCACAAGGAAGGTCAGTTAGTACCACTCTTATTCAAATGTACACACCAATCACTAAAGCCATGGATGATGAAATTGAAGACTTCTATCAACTCAGTTAGGACTCCTAGTATGTGGCAGAGGCCATGTCACCAAGGGGCAGAGCGGCGGAGGACCCTAAGCATGAAGGGCTCATTGTTAGGCAAGGCCACAATGGGTCTCCCCTTGGAAGGCAAGGCCCAGGAGGAATCTCATGTGGGGACTCTGCAGTTTCTATCGTTTTGTTTTAATCAGCTTATTTTTAATTTTCTTGATTTTATAATGAAAGTTTTCAGTAGAATCTTAGTAAGAATTATATTAGAGATCTGAAACTTGTTTTTAGGCACCTTCACACCACATTCAATCATGCGTAGTCCTAAAGAATGCTTTTCACACTAACAGTAAGTTTCACCACTAGGAAAAAACAGCTAAAGTTTTTGCCAGTTCAAGTTTAAGATTACATTCAACATTCTGTGTAGTTTCGGTCAGGAACATTAAGACCTTTAGAAAATTAGCAAAAATGCAATTAAGGGCTAAGGGAATAGTAATAGATCATAAACAGAAATTTAACTAGATGTTTTGTATAAAGAAGTTGTTATAAGGAAATTGTTCCGTTTCTTCTTAACTACAAAGCTTTAAATGCTTCTTGTTTTTCTTGTTTAATCAATCATGAGAACCAACTGTGTTGTCAGTTACCATAGCAAATAATGTTTAGGTACATGTTGTGATTAATGAATCTATGGAAAATAATAGGTGAGGGTAGAAATAGGAGTTAAGATTTAGAATTATGTTTTAAGGTTAACCTGACATTTTAGGATGTCAGAAAGATTAAGGTATTTTAACAAGATCATTTGTGTAATGCTTCAAAAGAAATTGATTGTTATGAGATCATAGTGTATTGTAAGGGTATATAAGGAGCTGAAAAAATTTAGTGAAACATCATCATCATTAAAAATCATCATTAGAATTCAGCACAAATCATCGACTCCGTGTGATTTCTTTCTTCAGCCGACTCCACACATTCCTTCGTGAGCCCCCACTAATAAGTGTGTCGGGGCTGTCCCCCGGCAAGCATGGTGCTGTGGGTTAATGCACCAGACTGCAAAGCCGCTTGAACTTCAAGGTCGCCAGCTCAAACTCACCAGCTACTCCTTAGAAACCCTACACAGGGTTGATATGGGTCGGAACCGACTCGACAGCACTTAACAAAAACAACAGTGAACTTAATTAAGAGCTTTGGTAGTGTAGTGGATTACAAGCTGGTTGATAACCAAAATATCAGCAGTTCGAATCTACCTGTCACTCCACAGGAGAAAGATGAGGATATCTGCTCCTATAGAGATTTACAGCCTCAGAAACCCTATACAGGGTCACTATGATTCAGAATCAACTCGGAGGCATACCATCACCACCAATTTCAAGAAGAAATTGATCAAACAGGCAATCATGATAATTACTGGTGATTAGAATGTGAAGGTTGGAAACAGAGAAATAATAATTGAAAAATATGGTCTGGAGAACACTCAATAGAATTCTGTAAGACCAATGCCTTAGTCTTAGCAAATACCTTTTTTTAATGACTTAAATGGAGAGTATAAATGTGGACCACAGCAAACCGAATACACAGGAATCAAACTGACTACATTTGTGGGAAAAAATGACCAAAAATCTCAGTATCATCAGACAAAACAAGGCCAGAGACTGACTGTGCAAGTTCAGGAGGAAGTAAATTTTTAAAAGTCCACGAGAGTCAAAATATGACCTTGAGTATATCCCACCTGAATTTAAAGACCATCTCAAGAAAAAATTTAATGCACTGTACAGAAAAAAAGCAAAAGGTCACTAAAAAAATAGGAAAAAAGAAAAGATCAAAGTGAATTTCAGAAGAGACACTGAACCTTGTTTGTAAACATAAAGAAGCTAAAGCAACTGGAAGAAATGAAGTACAAAATTTACAAGACAGCTCCCTGGCCAACCAATTGGAAGAGCTCCATATTTGGGCCATTTCAAATAAAGGTGCCTGTCCATACATTTCAGTGATCTTCAACACCTAGAAACTCAAGTCTTGGCAGCTGAAATCCTCTATGATATGGTCCAAGCCACTTTCAAGTTTTCTCTTCTAAGATTCCACACCTGAATGTAAGATCTAGGAAAGTCACTATTTTCTATTTGTAAAACAAATACTTTTCAACTATACAGGCTTTTCTTATACGGCTTATATATCTATCTGAAATTGTCTTTCCTTTCTACCTCAGAAACTGCTGCTCATCTTTTGGAGCTCAGCTCAAACCCAACAACCTTATCCACCTATCTCACCTCTAAATATGAGGGAAAAAATCTGAACTTCTCAATACTTTATCACATCTGGACTAATTTGTAAGGAGTCTGGTAGAGTAGTGGGTTACCCATTGGGCTGCTAACTACATGACTAGCAGTTTGAATCTACTCCACAGGAGAAAGATGAGTCTTTGTGCTCCCACAGATTACAACCTTGGAAACACAGCATACAGTTGCTACGAGTTGGAACTGACTCGACAGCACATAGCAGCAAACTAAGCTGTATGACAAAATGGATGTCATTTTTTATGTAGTCCCTGAAATCTATTATTGTTGTAGTTGAAAAGTACAAGCAAATCAGTTCCAACTCACAGCAACCCTGTATAGTGTTTCCAAGGCTGTACATGTTTGTGCAAGGAACAAGAAGCGTAGTGGTTATGAATTGTGCTGCTAACCTCAAGGTCAACAGTTTGAAACTACCAACTGATCCGCAGATGAAAGATGAGGCTTTCTGCGCCCAGAAAGATTTACAGCCTTGGAAACCCCATGCAGGGTTGCTCTGAGTCGGAACCGACTCCATGGCACATAAACACCAACCACCACATTTGTGCAAGTAGAAAGCCTCGTCTCTGGCAGAGTGGCTGGTGGGATCAAAACACCAACCTTGTGGTTCACAATCCAGTTACTTATACTACTGAGCCAGCGCACTCCCCACAATCTAATTTAGAGACAATTAATAAATGAGATGGGTACTTGGTCAAAACCCAGTAATGAAGGAAATGTTCTAACACTTGATTATGGCAATGGTTGCCTGGTTGCTGCTGTTGTAAAGTGCCATCAAGTCAGTTTCAACTCATAGTGATCCTGCACAGGGTTTCCAAGGAGCAGCTGGCAGGTTTGAATCGCTGACCTTGAGGTTAGTAGTTCACTGATTATCCTACCGTTCCACACCAACACTACCAGAGTCAATTTACTAAAAAAATAAAATCAAGCACTTAGAACGGGTGAATTTCATATGCCTCAGTAAAAACCCAGTCTCTTTGGACTCACAGCAAAGACAAAATCAAACTGTTGCATAGGGTTTCCAAGGCTATAAATCCTCATGTAAGGACTTCATTCCAGTACTTTAATTCCAAGACTAGAGCACTGGATTGTGAACTACAAAGTCAAAAGCAGACTGCTACATCTTCCCTTGAAGTGACTGGTCTGAATCACCAACTTTTTGGATCGTAGCCACACTTAACCACTGTGCCACCAAGGGCTCCCATACCTCAATAAAGTTGTTTTGTTTTTGTTTTTTAAATGAGTTTTCTTAAAAATACTGAAAAATGAAATCTCACCATCGGTTGACAATGATTCATCTTGATTTGTTAGTAAGTATGGGATGAATGTTGGACTGCTAACAACCACAAAGTTAGCAGTTCAAATCTACTAGGTGTTCCATGGCAGAAAGATGTCTGATCCCGTAAAGATTTACAATCTCAAAGCCCTATAGAGTTGCTATGTGTCAGAACAGACTCAAGGACAGTGGACTGGGTTAAATTTTAGTATTAAGATAAACTATCATTGTATTTCTAAAATCTGCAAGCTTCTCAGTACTCTACGCATGCTGAAAAGAGAACTACTACCTATGCCTTGGTATGTTTTTCACTTTAATAAATATCACAATAAATTGATATTTCAGAGACCGGAGTCCTCTTTCGTTTTAGTTAAGAGGTAATACCTACCCGAACAGTTACTGTGTGATTACAAGAGGGTTTCAAGAGAGGCAGCTGGAATCCACACCTAGGCATTCTTCTCATCTCCTCAATAGGAGTTCCAAGCCACTTCTTATCTGGAGAAAGGTGTGGTGGAATGTATTTAGGAATTTTCCTTTCTGTTCTTTGATGTTTGACTTCACAATGTTCTTTTCTAAGGCCAAGACAAATGAATACAATCAAAAATTATCTATTGCCTAAATTCTCACAGATACAAAAATACAAACCCTACCCAGAACTTTACTGTCAAGTGCACCAAGCTTGCTCTCTATCTTCAGTTCGCTTGTATTTACAAGCAAAAGTAAGAAGTACAGAGTTTATATAACAAAACCTAAGAGCTCACTGTCAAGTCTGTACAAGGAATTTCCAAATCCATGAAAGTCACCTTTTGAAAAAGGTTGTTGTTGTTGTTAAGTGCCGTCGAGTCGGTTCCGACCCATAGCGACCCTGAACAGGGTTTCCGAGGCTGTAAATCTTTATGGGAGCAGAAAGCCTCATCTTTCTCCCACAGAGCAGCTGGTAGTTTCGAACTGCTGACCTTGCAGTTCATAGCCCGATTTGTAACCACTACGCTACCAGAGCTCCTTGAAAAAGGTACCACGTAAGAATACGGACACTACCAAATAAGCTCATGGTTCATAGTGTCCACTGCAAATGCTGACACCTGTCTCTCAGGTCTCTATGCAGTCATTGTAAATGAAGTGAACTTTCTATCACATGCTAAAAACTCTCAGTTACTATGATTCTGAGAGTGGGTGTTAAAAATCTGAATGCGTTAACAGCAAAGACATCAGCATTGTAAATAGATAGACTTGGGCAAAAATTCCAGATTACCACTTACGGTTACATGATTTCAATACATTCCTTAACCCAAATCTAAGTTTCCTCATTTGTAAAAAGGATAGAATACCACCCATCTGGCAGAATTGTTAAGCGTACTAAAAACATGCAATATACAATGACCTACTACTATGTGTAGGATGCAAGGTCAATTTGAACCACAAGGTCAGTGGTTCAAACTCACCAGTCATTCCTTGGAACAAACTGGGTTACTATGAGTTAACCAACTCAACAGTACTTAACACCATCAATCTGGACTCTCTGGGTGATGCAAACAGTTAATGGTCACCTACTAGCCCAAGGCTGGCGGTTCAAACCCACCCAGCGATGCCTCTGAACACAGACCTGGCAACTAGCTTCTGAAAACGTGCAGACCCTGTGGAGCAGTTCTGCTCTGCACACACGGGGTCTCCATGAGCCACAACTGACTTGACTGCAACTAATAACGACTATCAATCCAATATTTTCATGTGCTGATCATTTTAGAAAGAAGATCTTGAAACTAAAAAATCCGATTCCAATATTTGGTTTACTTCTTGTTTTCTGGTTTTGATCTTTTTCAGAACTTAAAATTTTGAGTTTAAATTGTTGTTGTTAAGTGCCGTCGAGTCAGTTCTGACCCATAGTGACCCTGTATAGGGTTTCTGAGGAACAGCTGGTGAGCTTGAACCACCTACCTTGCAGTTCAAACGGCTTTGCCGTCTGGCACATTACCCCACAGCACCACACCAGGACAGTTAAAACAGGAAATCCAACAATTCCTTTGCTTTACAATAAACAAACTTTGTTAAATATAATAAAATCATAAGGTGAATTATTGGAAATACTCCTGATGGAAAAACTTACCTTTTGTCCTCTGCTTTGGGTGTTCTTGGAAAATGATCAGTGATTTTAGAATCCTTTTTTCCATGTTGCTTAGAATTTCTGCATTCTACATTCAGACTTGTAGTTCTCCCAGATATTTTAGCATTTAAATCATTTATTCCAGTACGACTCTCTCCACCTTCAAACTGAAAATGTAGTCTTAGTTCCCCTCCCTTAGTAGAGCACCTTTTCTTAGTTTCAGCGTCAGTTTCTCTTGCTTGAAACCTTGAAGGTATAGGTCCTGTTTGGGATGAAGGACCCTCTTCCTGTTCATCAAGACCTAGACTTGTCTCTTCATCTCCTGAGTCCTGGCAACTGTTTTTGGAATTATCTACGTCCATTGGTGAGTCGGGTTCACTTTCCTTCTCAAGGGGAAAATTCCCCAAGCTACTTTCCTGTCTATTCAATTTGTTGTCATTTCTCAGTTCAGTAATGAAGTGCTCTGAACCAACATCTGACAAAGGACTCTCTGGCAAATCTATCTCTTCAGGATGACAGCTTGCACAATCTCCCACAGCATGACAAGATGTGATCAACTTCTGGTTGTTTTTGGTTTCTCTACTCAGTTCATCTTCTGCAGTCTGCTTTACATTTGCAAGCTTCACAGGTGTCAAAAATTGTTGATTATCTTTATTTTCTTCACTATCTATGTCACTGTGGTCATCATTTTGGGGTGACTTGTCAACATTAGCATTACCTAATTGCTCTGGTACCAGAGTTACTGTCAGAGGTTCACTTTCCAAAAGGTGCTCTGTAGATTTCCCTTCATTTTGCCACTTACACATAGATGCAGACTGATGTTGGTTTAAATACTGTGTACTTTTTTCAATGGGTGATTTAGCAAGATTTAATTGAGAAACATTTTCTAGTTTTTCCATATTATGTTGATAAAAATTATCTTTTTGTATAGAACTCATCATGGATTCTACACTCGTATTGTTGTTTTCTTTACTATGCAAGCTATAAAAGAATAGAAAGAACTAAATACAGCTTAAGGTACAAGAAGGCCCAAACACCACCTCCCCCCCCACAATGCCCCAGTAATAATTAAACTGAGCACATATCATGCCCATTCATGATGCCACATCTTTGTACATAGGGCTATAATAATGTCCTTCCCCCAACTGTGAGCCTGGCAAACACCTTTGCTTCCTTCAAGTCTCAGACATCATTCACTTCCTTGTGCAGTTTTTTCTAATGGCCCACAGGTAAAACTGATCATTTTAACATGCTAACTACCACTATAACCTATTCATAGCTTTACTGTTAAACATACAATACCATCCAATAACCAAGGGTTTTTATGCCACCACTACACTATTCTCTTACATCTCTGTATTCCAAAGATATTGGAGAATCCCTGGCACATCACAGACTATAAAAATGTATTACAAATTGAAAGAATATAAATGAAAAAAATGGGAAAGCAAAAATGAGAGAAACTATTCATTTATCTACATAGGCCTATTTATACCTTTCTAATCCCGCAGTCTTGGTTCCTTTAGTGTCCATCCAACTGGTAAGAGTCTTTTGTTTGAAAACTGTAAAAAATAGAATAAAACAATAACAAAGTTCATCTATCTTTGATATCTATCCTTCAAACAGAAAATATCTGTTGGTTGCTGTTAAGTGCTGTCAAGTCATTTCAGACTCATAGTGATCCTACATAAGGTTCCCAAAGAGCAGCTGGTGGGTTTGAACTGCTGACCTTGTGGTTCGTAGTCCAGTGATGATTCACAGGGTCACAGCAGAAGCCCTATATAATCCTATATAGAGACAAGTTCTATATAGATAAAAATATATAGCATATATTATATGCAAGGTATTATGCTAGAGTCTATGGGTTTGAGCAAAGACTAGTCACACTCCTTCCACATTCAAGCAACAGGAGGAAAGACAGAAACAAACACATAAAATAGATGTGGCATACAGAGGAAAGCGTCCAACCCCTAAAAGAGTTGGTATGGTGTCAGGGAGACGAGTACAGGCTCTGGAATGAGGCCACTAGGATTCAGATTCTCATTTTCCCACTACTTTCTTCTATCTGTGAGAGGTCATTTTTGTATCACAGACTGCTCTTTTGTAAAACATGCAAATTAGCAGTACCTGTCATGGGATTATTGTGAGGTTTCAATTAACTCATGTACAGTGTTTAATGCACTAACCAGTATATGATAGGTATTCAGTAAATTACCAGCACTGTTAGAAATGCTGATAAGGAATTAAGGTGTTTCTGAGGGAAAGACTTTCTCGGTTCTAAGGGAAGAAGCATGAGGGAGAATAATTGGTAACATTTCCTAGAAGAGGTGGCATTTGAATTTTGCCTTGATGAATGAGGATGTAGTGGTGGTGGTGGTGGTGTGGCACCGAGTCGGTTCCAACTCATAGAGACTCTGTACAGGATTTTCGGGGCTGTAAATCTTTATGGGAGCAGAAAGCCTCATCTTTCTCCTGTGGAGCAGCTGGTAGTTTCAAACTGCTAACCCTAAGGTTAGCAACTTGACTTGTAATCACTACACTAAGTCACAGGCAAAATCACCAATGGTAGAGAAGTATAAAGAATTCAAAAATAAAGCAATAGAAAATACGGTTTAAAATCAGGTAGGACCATATAGCAGAAATCCTTGAATGATCCATAAAAGTATAAAAAAGTACTGGAAATCATGATTCTAGAATTAAGATCTAGAGGCCTCAATCATGTGTAACATATACGGCAAAGCTGAGGGGTGAGAAGAAAAAACCTACTGTCAGAAACCAGTTCCAAAGCTAGGAATGGAAGCCAGTGGTTCTAAAACCAATCAAATCAACAGAAGGCTAATAATATAAGTATCCCAGGGCCTCATTCCAGTTCTACTGAACCAGAATCCATGTGTGCGCGATGGAGTTAACAAGAAAGCTTCCAAAAGTTCCTGGCAATTTACATTAGCTTTTCATTACATTTTTCCACAAACTTTTTGAATATCCTTGTATGTGATGGGTTGGAATCTGTATTTTTTTTTTTTTTTTAATTATTCTGACGATCAACCAGGTTGGAATACTACTGGCCAAAGAACAAAACTAGTTCCTGTGAGAATGTTGGGTAAAAATGGAGAAGTGAGAGCAATTGCAGACTCACAATGACTGATGTTAAAGAGGACATTAAGGTTGATGGCAACATTAAGTAGAAATATAGGAGAACTGAGTTTGGGCAAAATACAATGAGGTGAATCCTGAACACGTTAAGTTTGAGATGTCAAAGAGATAACTAGTCATAAATGATCCACAAGCAGTAGTAGAAGTAAAATAGATGGTTCAGGAGAGAAAGATGCAACATAAATAAGCGCAAATGCTACTTCATATGAGCATTAGATAAGGGTGCTGACAAAATTTAATAATGGATTAAGTGAATACAAGTATACCTCAGGGAGTTGGAAACTTTGGTTCCAGACCACTATAATAAAGCAAAAACTACAATAAAGTGAGTCACATGAATGTTTTGGCTTCCTAGTGCATATAAAAGTTATTTTTACATTAGCTGACTGTAGTCTAGTAAGTGTGTAATAGAATTATGTTTGAAGTATGGGGGAAATTACCAAAATCTGACACAGAGACATGAAGTGAACACATCTGTTAGAAAAATGGTGTCAACAGACTTGATCGACAATGCATAGACACAAACCTTCAATTTGTAGATGGCACAGTATCTGCGAGGCACAATAAAGCAAGATGTCGTAAAGCGAGGTATGCTTGTATAACATTTTAAAAGAAAACAAAAATCTTAAATATTCTCCATGGATGAGCTTCCAGACAAAGACAGACTAGGAAGAAGGAGTAACAAACCACTTCTGATTATTTAGTCACTGAAAACCTTGTGAATGAACAGCATAGAAACACTGTTGGATATAGTGCCGGAAAACGGACTGGCCAAGTCGCAGCATTGACGGACTCAAGTGTGGCAACAGTAGTGAGGTTGGCCCAGGCAGGATCGGGCAGTGTTTTGTTCTGCTGTGCATAAGGTCGCTATGAGTCAGGACCGACTCGATGGCACCTAACAACAACAACTCTTCAAAGTGCAGTGTAAGAATCTAGGCCCTTTCTCAAGTCATAGTCTTGTTCTTCTTTACCTAGTTTCTCAAACACCAAAACATTTCTCAAAATACATTCTGAGCCCAACGTGAAAATCAACACGCTATTTATCACTGAGATGACGGCAAAAGTAAAATGCATTTCATGTTTGGAGAGAATTTTATACCAGAAACATATTCCAGTGCATATAACTTATAACTGCCATGAAATAGTAATATTCCAATTAGCATAAATATTTGGTTAGTATTTTTTAAAAAGCTTCTAACAAAAGTATAGTGAGACTGATATTTTCTGCAAAATACTATCACTTTAGTGATTTTACTAAGTAGCTGCTCCTGCAACAAACCAGGTTTTAAAGAAAAAGGCAGCTTCAGTCAAAATGGAATACGAAGATGAATCAGTTGAGTCTCTAACTTTTTCTATAGTCATATCTTATATCAAACACGAGGAGCTCTGGGGGCACAGTGGGTAAGCATTCAGTTGCCAACTGAAAGGTTAGTGATTCAGACCTTCCAACTGCTCAGCAAAAGATGGGGTACCTTGTTTCTGTAAAGATGACAGCCTTGGAAAGCCTACGGGGTCATCAGGTCCTTTAGGATCACTATGGGTCAGAACTGATTTAACTGCAAATCAGTTCTATATCAAACAGTGCAAGTACAGGTCAGGAAAACTCTCCAACTATAAACCAGCAGTAGCCAAAAAGCTTATTTCTGAGTCAGTTTAAAACATATTTTACCTCAAATGTAATCACTAGATATTATACAATGACTGTTGTCATTGTCATTGCTAAATGCTGGTAAGTTGGCTCCAACTCACAGCGACTCTGTATAGACTTTCCAAGGAGCAGCTGGTAGGTTTGAACCACCGACCTTGAGGCTCACAGTCCAGTACTGATCTGACAGTGCCACACTAGGAGTCCATACGACGACTTGTTGTAAAGGGCAGTTGAGCTGACTCCGACCCATAGCAATCCTGTGTAGGGTTTCCGAGGAGCAGCTGGTGAGCTCAAACCGCCAATCTTGCAGTTCAAACAGCTTTGTGGTCTGGCACATTAACCCACAGCTCCACACCAGGACTCCAAACAGTGACTGTTTGGTTGATTATGTGTCATTGGGTCGGTTCCGATTCATAGCGACCCTATACAGGGTTTCCAAGGTTGTAAATCTTTACGGGAGCAGAAAGCCTCATGTTTCCCCCACGGAACAACTGGTAGTTTCGAACTGCTGACCTTGCAGTTCACAGCCCTATTCATTACCACTACGCCACCAGAGCTCCTTTTATAATGACTAGGTTCCTGCAAAAAATGAACCACCAACTATTCCTTACACAACCCTCTCTACTCCTCAACTGAGTTTGATAATCCACTGCAATGGCCACACAGGACTCAGACACCATATTCCCAGTCATAGCCGTTTATTAAAGAAGTTAACAGGTTACAATTCATGGTTTGAAATGCTCAGGGCATAGCTGTTCCAGTCAGCTGCTGATCAATGCCATAGGACACACCACTCCACCCTAAGCTTCAACCTGAAGGCCATCGGCTCTAGCTCCATAGGTCAGCAAACACCCCCCACTACTTAAGTGTCTGGAGACACCCAACTCTACAAGTAAGCTTCTGCCTAAAGTCAGTCAGCTTCTCTTGGTCCAGGGGCTGAGAAGTCCACTGCTGTGGCTCCTTCTCTGCCACTCCTCTGACATCACAGCTTTCCATTCCTGGGCAGAGGCGCTTCAATCTGCAGGGATCTCCAGGGTCCAAAGATCTCCACTCCTGGCTCTTCTTCTTCAATGGTAGCGAGATCGCCATCCTGCTTTTGAGACGTTTTCAGTTCAGGCAGTCTTTCTTTCCTTCTGAAGTCCCCAGAAAAGGAATCATCATCTTTTTTTCTTTCATTTTA